TATTACCTTGACTACGAAAGAATTTGATTCTTCACAGTATGTATAGTATGTTGCTCATGTTACATTTGTAGACCAAAACTTTAATGTTACATTTGTAGACCAAAACTTTATTTAAGTAAATAAAATAATTTAAATATTTAGTCATATGCGTGTTGGACTTTTTTTTTTTTGGTCGAACGCGTGTTGGACTTTATAAAAGTAAATAAAATAACAATGTTTCAAAATAGTAATTGAAGAAAAAAAATTGCAAGAGATTCCTACGTCAAGTAAACTTGGGGACGAAGTTAAATATGATGGGCCTTTTACTCGACAATTGACAATTCAAATATGATGGGCCATATTCGAGAATTAAAATAAGATGGATCCACGATCTATGTAACTCGACAATTCTCTCGTTTACAATAAAGATGTACGATGGCAGAGGAGTAATATAACAAACAAATTAAGGGTAATATCGACATTTCAAAGCTGAAACGTAGTGGGAGCGCGACACATCAGCTTTTTCACCTCACAATTATATATATAGATAGTGAGATTTTTTTTGTGTTGGAGTTTATTTGGAACAGAAGAGACCAGTGCTAACTTTGTCAGCCATAGCATGTATGCAGCAGCATGCAGTACTTGAGCTTGAAAATCTTCAAACTTGGTATCCGTAACCGTCATAGAAGATTCTAGAAGAAGGATTTCATTGTCTATGAAGTTGGCAGTTTCTTCATTCATCCCCATAGTATTATGACAACAAAAGTGTTTACAAATCTAACTTTGTCGTCCAGACCACTGTCACAATGATAGCTTAGCGAGAGACAAAAATTATCTACTTGGGTTTAGGTTCTGGGTTTACAAAATACAACTTAGCCGTTTCTTTAATAACGGATCCCTAAGATAGTGCAGTTGATAACTGAAGAAAAGGTCCATATCCAAAAGCTAAGATAATTTAGCAGCATTTATAACAATACAATGAGGATATCGGGGCTACATCTTCATACTGTGCTCATCTCTACACTGATTGTTTTTTTTTGAAGATCGAAGATAATCATACCTCTCGTCCCACGTAACGTTCTACAAATTCTTTGTTCCAATCAAGCTCTTCCTGTCACATTATTTCAAAGAGAATTTAAGAGGCATTCTCATGTTCAACACAAATATAAAAATAAGATTGCCCAGAGAAATCGTAATGGCAGCAAACCGGGGATTGGCTAGCAAGGAAGACAAAGCGTACCATCCAGATCTTGTGCGTCTCAGTTTTATCTTAAGCATTGCTTCCTTTCACGTTAAGTGGCTCCAAAATCTTGAGCATCAGCCGCTGGACAGTAAGGAAAAAAAAATTGGTTACGAGCTCATGGAACACTTGACTAGACTGAACGGAGAATGCTAGTTGTACTTTATACTTCCAAGACCTAACATAACTTGGAGTAAGTTCATGACCGCATTGTTACAAGACTGATACATACTCTAGGTTTACCACAATCACATCAATATGATAGAGAATCGTACTCTGCGATAATGGAAGCAAGAACTATATCGGCTACATGCAGCCCTGCCCACCTTTTAGATTTGTTCAACTCTTGTAGCACCCAGAACAGACAGCATATATATACGTAATGTGAATCACAGATTGGAGAAAATTTATGGTGTATCTTAGACCATATGAAACTTTCACAAGTTCAGATAACAGACGGAACCAATTTGATGAAATCAGAGAAATGTTCAAAAGTTCAGAAAATCTGACCATATGAAATGTTCACAAGTTCAGACCATATGTTAAAAAAATCGGAAAATCTGAAAGAAATGTAAAGAATATTTTACCTGCTCAATTGTCATGTAGGAAACCAACCAGCAACGGTGATACCATGCACGATAGTTCATCTTTGATCTCTGTAAAAGACATGTATTTGATTAGGTATAAAACTGCGTTGTGTGTCATATTAGTAGGAACCGCAGAGAGCAATGGACTTTTGAGTATCAACCAAAAAAAAAAAACTTGCAGTGGCACCATTTATTTAGTATATATAATAGCCAAATTGTGAAGACTGGGAAAAACCAATATTTATTTCCGTAAAATATATGATGAACCTTCATCATATAAAGCATCAAATCTGGAACTGATCTAAACCTCGCCTATTGCTTCCACTAGCTCAGATTCTTTGATGATAATCTCTTGTGGTGTGGAAAATCTCTGAGCCATCATCTTAATTATCCATCTTCTGTGTGAGGTTTTGGAAAATAGTTGGACAAGAAAAAGTAGGAACTATTCAGTCCAATGACTAAAATCTACTAAAGATCAGAAAGTGTGTTGGTATCATTCAAGTATAAAAGTGATAGGAAAATGCTGATTCTAATAAATATGTTAATTTCTTTTTCTTCACTAATCATCATGACGCAGAAGATGTATTTGGATAACAGAAAAACGCTGAGTAACCCAAAGTTATTGAAAAGTCATGTCATAGAAGACCGACCTGTGGCTCCATGTTGCCTCACTCTTTGGACAATTTCAAAGAATAAGCCGAGAAAGACGAAGTTCTTCCGTGAATGCACAAGGTTGATCCTTTTTCGACAACATCAACTTCCTATCTCCAGGACACACAGACAAGATGAGGTCAAATAAAGAAGCAAAACATTAGAAAAACAAATCAAGCCAAACATAACTACTTCATTTCTACACACCTAGCATTCCATGCAGTTCCAAAGTCTGAGCTTAACAGCAAAACAGATTTGCTATGCTTCATGACTTCGCTCTCAAGAGTACGAACAGAACAAGAAATCTCCGATGAGATATTTTCGTTTGGAGACTCACTAAATGTTTTATAAATAACAAGAATATGTATATTATAAAAACTGGAAGACGCCAACTAAAGCATCTATATATGAACCAAAAAACTTAGACCAACAAAAAATAAAGGAAGCTTTGCTGTTTATATTATAAACTAATGAAAACACACACATAGATGAAAAATAATGAAACATGTCTTTGTTTTTTACCCAAAACAAAATACTACACTTAGATATGTAAATATGGGGAAGACCCAGGTATATGGTGCATGTCATTAACGCATAGACACAATACTACACTCAAATCG